TGCTAGGGATTTTGTAAAATCCCTGATCACAAGTTTAAATTTGATAAACGAAATGTGTTTTTCTTAATAAAAATAAACCAATGACTTTGAAATATATTTTTCTAATAAATAATACTAGTTAAAACTATTGTACATTGATTGTGAATACTAGACATATGAACTGATATTAAAAACTACAATTTACTTATTTTTGCATGACATCTACTGTTACAAAAATGCCCTGCTTTTCGACAGGCACACATATTTTGTTCCCATCTATTCTTTCCAAAACATCAACATTTAAGAAAAACTTTGTCCATCACAAACAGAAGACAGTATAACAGCTTGTCAAAAAGAGATGAAATTGTCAATTGATACAGCTGATGGACTGTAAAAAGAAACCAGGAAATCAGTGGGTTCAAGCTGGGTTCTAGTGTATGACCCTAACAAAATGCCATGTTTGATACAAGACTAGTATGTTGTACATGTCTTCTAGACATACATTAAATTTGATATGTCCATCTAATGAATACCGTTTTATACGATTTTTTATGACATCTCCACATTGAAGAACTTCATACCTACATTAAACTAATATTTACTTTTAATTTGATTTGGATCTAAAGAATAAAGAATTCGAAAGTATAGAAAACTTTTAAAAGTTTTACCACTTTGTGATAGAATACATGAATAAGACAGTATCTGAGATATGACCAAAGTAAGAAATGCAAATACAAAACAAGTTTTTTTACCTATACCCATCTGTTGTCTTCTTTGTTACAATTCTTATTTTGTGGATATGAATGTCTTTTATAGGGTTCAAATTAACAATACAACACTTATTTGCTCTTAATACATCAATTTTCATGGCATAATAAGATGCTTTCGTTCTGATATGCATGTAATATTTGCCACTGGATCACATAGCCTAAATCAATCAATTTCTTTCTCTTTTCATATGTGTTTTTCTCCTCGCAAAACGACAATCGCTACAATGTACTGTCTTTATATTTGATTATAAAAATTGATGTAATAGGTTTATACTTTTCAGTAATTGCATAAGCACTATATAATAAACAATTATTATAAGTAAACTAAGTTTCGAACAAGGTAATAATAAGAGCTTGTTTTGTCTTCTTTCTGTGGCTTTTTAGCAAAAAGTTTTAAAATTTCTTTATATTTTTTTCCCTTTCCCATATGTTACATTTTATCTAAAGAATTTTTAAATCTAAAAGAATTATATTTTTTTTACAAATTCACTGAATTCAATCAAGGAATCAGTGAAAAAGACCTTAATTATTTCAGTGATTTTGTAAAATCCCTAGTCAAAATCAGGGATTTTATAAAATCACTAATCAGTTCAGTGATTATACAAAATCTCTGAAATTTCAGGGATTTTACAAAATCCCTGATTTTACAAATTCACTGTAACATATATTCCTGTTCGTCATGTCTCGAACATTTGAATGACGTATAGGGTTAGTCCCCAGGGGTTCCCCCAACCCCCAATGTTCTAATATCTTGTAAATGGTCGAGATCCCCACCCCTAAACCATATATATATACAGGTTTGTCATGCTAAGATGGTTTGAATGATATACAGGGTTAGTCCTCAGGGGTCATCCCGACCCCCTGCCATTTGAGAAAGTTCTAATATCTTGTAAATGGTCAAGATCCCCACCCCTAAACTATATATATTCCTGTTCGTCATGTCTTGAACATTTGAATGACGTATAGGGTCAGTACCCAGGGGTTCCCTCCACCCCCAATGTTCTAGTATCTTGTAAATGGTCGAGATCCCCACCCCTAAACCATATATATTCAGGTTTGTCATGCCAAGATGATTTGAATGATATACAGGGTTAGTCCCCAGCCATCACTAATGCATATAACTTTACTGGACCAAACCAATTTTCACTGGACTCTGCCCAATGTCAGGCGACCCTGGGAATTACGAATGATGGGAGCTTCGTTTTGGAGACTTCGTAACAGAATCCTGTTACAATCATTTCTTGTTCATTTTGTCATACTAGGCAATCTGACATGATAGAAAACACAAAACAGAGTTATTTGATATGAAAAAGAGGAAGGGCAGACAAAAATAAGAAGCAATTAACATTATTGCGGACATAAGGGGGATATCCCTAAACCACTTGGTCCTGTCGGTTTTTTTACCTTAGTTCTCAAATGGAAGCAGTATTATATTAAATTCGTAAAAGATTCCACGGAACCCGGTGTCTCGCCTAATATCGCTGCGGTCAGTGTAAATATGTAATGTTGACCGTACATTTATTGGTACATTTATCGGTAAAAACCAGATTTAAAAAATAAATATTTTTCTGTGAATGCTTTAAATTGATTTTGAATAATAACTCTTTTATTAGTTTTATAACAATTCGTGGAGATTAACAAATGTATCATGTCAAAACAGTTTAATTCGGTTATATCTAAAGCCAAAAAACTGATATAAAAATAAGAAAATGTGGTATGATTGCCAATTTGACAACTGTGTGTGACTGTATGGACTCCAAGAATGAGCAAAACCCAGACCACATAGTAAGCTATACAAGTTCTCGAAATAAAAAAATGTAAAATCTATTCAAACGTGAAACCTAACGATCTAAATGATGAAGACGCCGACGCCACTGCCGACGACGGAAAAAATGTTGTTGTGTCTCACTGCCGCTACATTAATGTCGCAGGCTTGACACAAATCAAAAGACTTGTACTTTATTTTCAACAAATGCGACACTTTAAATCAACTCACACTAAAGGGAAATGGGGACTAAGCGACAAAGTATCAATTCTATACAATAAGAATTCTCCGATTTTTTTTAACGTGTATGATCATTTGAACATATACAAATATCAATATTTTATTATTACAAATTGCATTCTTTGGTAAACTTCGCACTAATTGAAAAAAAAATTAAAACAAATGAAATATCTGTTTCACAGGTGACGACGGATATGTTCCAGTTGTCTTTACCACAATCCCGTCATCTTTTCCTCGAATGTGAACTACCAAATAAAACAAAATCACTGGGTTTATACTTTCACGAATAACACGACGGATGTCACACGTTGAGCAGAATCTGCTTACCCTTCCGGAGCACCAGAGATCATCCCCGGAGGATTATATTACCCAGTTCTACCGATTTATTGAGTTAGCCAATTGAAACTGTTTTTTAAACGTTTTTATTATTTTGTGCTGTTACACTCTAGTCCGAGATTATGTTAGGGTTTAGAGTTTAGCGCTCACAAACATGTTAACCTCCACCACATTGTGCTTTCTTTATGTGCCTGCACCAAGTCAGAAGCCTGTAGTTCAATGGTTGTTGTTGTTTCATGCGTGTCATATTTGTTTATCGTAGATTGTTCTGTTATAGATTAGACCGTTAGTTTCCTCGTTTGAATATCTCACATTTTCACGTGGTGGCATTTTGTAGCCGACTATATGGTGTGTTGAAGGCTGTACTGTTGTCATTGATTGCTTACATCCACTGGCAGGACCACTGCACTTAAACTCTGGTGGATAGTCGTCTCATTGGCAATCACACCACATCTAACAATTTCTATGTTGTGTTTTGTATACTGTAACATATACAGTAATGTCATAACCACATCAAAGAATGAAATGACCACATCAAATACTGAAACAAACACATCATGTAGTGTAAAATCTTCAAAGTTTGAAATATCATTACGTAATATTAAAGCCATATAAAGAATTGTCAAATCATCATTACGAAATAACAAAACTTTTAATTAAACCACTACATTACGTTAAGTCACATACACATCAAGTAATGTTAAAACCACATAGCCTAATGACACAACCACATAAAATAATGGTGAAACCACATCGAGTAATGAGAAAACTATCAAGTCAATACGAAACCATATCGTGTAATATCGAGATATCTTTAAGTAATGACTATTCCATATTGAGTTATATCAAAACATCATAACGTAATGTCGAAACCATATTATGCAAAGACAAAATATCATCAAGTAATAATAAAACAATAGCACGTAATATCAGAGTTCCACATAAGACGGCTGTTGCGTTTCATACATACGAATGGGTTTACCTATAGCTTTGTAAGCATAACTCGTTCAATTCGTCAAGGATGGCCAATCGCTCCCCTGTTATATATTATGCAAGCAGAACCACTTACATTATCAATTAGAAACCATCTAATATAGAAGGAATAAAACTTCCAACTAGAACTGAGAACTATATTGGAACAAATCAACTATGTTTGCTTATGATACTCAACTCTTTAATAAAAGTGAGTAGTCTATCGAAGAAACATTTAAAATTTTAAAACTGTACGTAAACGCTTCAGGGGCTAGAAAGAATCTGGAAAAGACTGTTGGTATGTATTAAGGCAAGTGCTGAAATAAAAAAAATAAAAAAATTAACCAAATTAAATGGTCTAAGCGGTCTGTGAATTCATGAGGGGTTCAGCATGGATATAGGTTGGACTTAGATACAATTTGGCTAATAACAATCAATAGAATAAAATACTGTATGGAGGTTTGGAAATCAAGAGGTCTCACATTTACGGAAAATATTTAATCAATAAATCATTTGTTACTTTGTGGTGTCTATGATTGAATGCAAAATTTAAATGAGAGGTATTCCAGATATATATGAATACCAAATAAATAATAATGTCCTTGTACAGACACTAGAGATTTGGGCCAAATAAAATGTCAAAATATTATAAAGAACTTTGGATTTCCTGGACTGATCTGCAGAAAGAGGAGCTTTTAGGAGAAAATATATTTGGCAATTTTAAATTCAAGTTCAAGTTTCATGCCTTACATTATGAAAATTTTGCCTCCAATGGAATAAAAAAAGTAAAAGGGACCTGAACAATAAATCCTTGAAAATTTCTTTCGAAATTTTTAACAAGCTAACAGATAAAAGAAACTGTGTCATTCGTGATGCTAATGTTATTACAAACCCAGGATGCAAAGATTTAAGGTAAAAACATGTATATTTTTTTTCAGCTATCTATCCTAATGGCAATATTGTTACAATAGACTTTCCTGAACACCATAATTGGAAAGGTAGCATAGAGGAAATTGAAATAGTACCAAGTACTCACCCTGGTGTTGGGTATGTACATTTTAATGATTAACTGAACTGTTCTTAAATAACATGGTGGTGAGTATAAACAGGTAAATATTTAAAATTGGCAACAATATGTATTTTTTTTTACATGCTTGTGATAGATCTGTTTAGATAAGTTTCATTTGTAAACTCCAAAATAATCTCATATTTCTATATACTTATGTAAGACTTTAGCTTACCTTAACTGATATTTGTACATGTTTTCGTTTTAGTTGTGATGGATGTTATATATTCCCATTGGTTGGTAACAGATACAAGTGTCGAGTCTGCACGAACTTTAATTTCTGTGAGATCTGTTTTAGAAGTAAGAAAACATGTCTTTGTTCAGTCACCTTACCATATTTTATATTTTACATGTAATATCTAGATATTTCCCTTTATTTAATCAGTGTTCTGCAGAGAATCACGTCACAAAAAAAATCTCTTTATATATCACTTTATATAGCCTAAATTGAATAAGTCCTTTTTTCCAATAAATCTTTTTAAACCCTCTATTATTTAAATCATGATAAGAAAAGCAATCTTTGACGACAGAAGTTACAATTTGATTCAAAAGCCCCAACCCCAACCCATTTCCTAATTCATTTTTATTTAAAAGCACACCTTCTTCCTTCAAATGGAGTTATACCCTGATATTATTCATCAATCATATGTTTCACTTTAAACTTGAAATTTGCATTAGAAATTCATGATGTCCTTTGGTTAGGTTTAAGAGCATGCCATATGTGACCAGGTGGAATAAGGCTTAGATGAATTGAATGCAGAACGTTCAAATACTTTATTATATACTATAAAGAAGGCAACGACGGATCTGAAATATACAGATAATGACAAAAAAAATGCATGCATCTGGTCTATATACCAGCTTTGATTTTTTGGAATTACTACAAATTGTCACTTCTTCGTACTTTGAACATCAACATTATTTCCTTTCTTCTTAAATACTGTTCTTGCACCTGTACATGAAGAACACGAAGTTGTTATCGAGCACCAATTGTATAGTTTTATTGTTGATATTCACCCCACATGTACGAAGTTTAAGATTAGTTTTATTGACATACAAGAAAGTTCTTGGTATTCCTAAACGGAAGATTATATAGATAGAAGAAGACATATACTTACCAAATTATATTCATTTACCTGTGTTTAATATGACGTAATTTTTTTAAAGTTGATGTTTTTCTAAAATTGTTTAACATTCACAGCGGTTTTATACTTTTACTTTAATTATTAATCCCTTAATTTTATTAACCATGTGTTTACATTGTATCACAGATCAAATGTATTCGTTCATTGTGTGTAAATTTATGCTACTACGTTTTTTGACTGAGTTAAGCAATTCCAATTGATATTTTATAGTGTGTCTTTCTATGTTGTGATGTTATACTATAGTTTCAGAAAAGGGAGAAGGTTTGGTACCAATAAAACGTTTAATCCCGCTGCAATTGTTTGCACCTGTCCTAAGTCAGGAATCTGATGTTCAGTGGATGTCGTCTGTTTATGTGGTTCATAAGTGTTTCTCGTTTCTCGTTTTTTATATAGATTAGACCGTTGGTTTTCACGTTTGAATGGTTTTACACTAGTAATTTTTGGGGCCCTTTATAGCTTGCTGTTCGGTTTGAGCCTAGGCTCCGTGTTTAAGACCATACCTTGACCTATAATGGTTTACTTTTATAAATTGTGACTTGGATAGAGAGTTGCTCATTGGCAATCATACCACATCTTCCTATATCTATATATGAATATATCATTTGTAGCGAATAATGTATACTATGTTTAATCACACAATTGCAAATATATACATTTTTGTAATACTAGTAATGCAAAACACAGTTAAATGACAATCTGAATGTAACAAAATTGTTAATCAATGCTAATGAAAAATGTTCACTAAAGTAGGTTGACCATTCGACTAAATAAAATACTTTAAAATATAGCAAAGTGCTCTCGACCAATGAAATTGTAGGATTTGGTGTCTCTTGATTGTGAAGAATGAATGTAAATCGTGTTCTTAGTAAGGGATTATCCTAGCTATTATTTGAGCTTAGAATATAGCAAAGTACTCTCGACCAATGAAATTGTAGAATTGGATGCCTCTTAATTGTGAAGAATGAATGTAAATCATGTTCTTAGTAAGGAATTATCCTATTATTTGGGTCTATTTACAGTTAAAAACAAAGAGTTTCTATAAATGAGTTACAACTGCCCTGAAGCACATTTATCAGATTGAAAGGATTTATCACACAGTGATTGAAACTGACTAAAAGTTGAATTGTGAAACAAACAAAAATCTCAAAATAAGTTGAAGTTTACTGGTGCAGAAAAAATTGGTAACGTGAATTTTATTATGAAAATATTAATAACTTCAAATTACTATAAAATTAAACAATACCAAAGCAATGCAAACAAAAAAGAAAAAAAATCTTTCAGATAAAACAAAACTAAATCTTTAGCTTTCCAAAACTTTGATTACTTGATCAGCGGTTGGGGAGAATAGTTATTTCCAATACAATTATTCCGATAAAAAAAACAGGAATTAAATTTTAAACATATTAAAAACTTTTAAGGGCATTATTTTTGAGCATTTTCCTGACATAATGAAACAGTATTTGATGTAAAAAGCCGGACCAAACTATTGGCTGTGAAATAAAATTCAGTTGTAACTCTGATGTATTAATTGATTTAAACTGTAAATAAAACATTACATGATTTACATTCATACTCACAATCAGGAAACATACAATTCCTACCTTTTCTTTCTACTGTTGTGTCACCTAATATCTATAACGCATTTTTCTTTAAAATATTTCCCAAATGATAAGAAAGTCCTCACATCACTAAAACTTATCCATAAATGACATGCCGAAAAAGGAAGTCATGCATCAATTATAAACATTGCACTGACAATGAAACTAATTCTTGAATAGATCATTTGAGCCTTGAGCACTTTACAATATTCTAAGTTTGTAAGAGAATGATAATCCCTTACTTCATGATAAGTACTCGCTAACGCTCGTACTTATTCATGAAGAAAGGGATTATCATTCTCTTACATATACCTATTTACAGTTCAAAACAAAGAGTTTCTATAAATGAGTTACAACTGCCCCGAAGCACATTTACCAGATTGAAAGGATTTATTACAAAATGTACAATGATTGGAACTGACTAAAACATAAATTGTGAAACAAACAAAAAATCAAAATAAGTTAAAGTTTACTGTTGCAGTAAAATTTGTACCTCTAATGTTATTTTGAAATAAATAACTTCAAACTACTAAAATAAAACAATAGAGAATAATTATTTCCAATATTCTGTTTAAATAAACAAAACAGGAATTTGATTTAAGTTTAAAACTTTTAAACACATTTTGTTAGAACATTTCCCCGATATAATAAAATAGTATTAAAAAGCTTGACCAAAATATTGGCCAAGGAATAAAATCTGTTGTAACTGAAATGTATTTATTGTGAAACTGTAATTAAAAAATGGATAATTCCTCGCTCAAATATTTTACGACTTACATTTATATTCACAGTCAGGAAACATATACAATTTCTACCTTTTCTTTGTACTGCTGTGTCGGCTAACATCTTGTCTATAACCCTTTTTTAGCTCACCGTTTCGAAGGAACTGTGAGCTTTTGCCATCACTTGGCGTCCGTCTTTGTCTGTCGTCGTCCATCGTAGTCCGTCTGGTGTAAACTATTTCAAACATCTTCTCCTCTGAAACTACTGAACCAATTCCTATAAAACTTTCGCTGCATGATCCTTAGGGTATCTAAAATAAAGTTTGTGTTTTATTTTTTGTTTCGTATAAAAACATGGCCGCCATGGCTAAAAATAAAACATAGGGGTAAAATGCAGTTTTTTGCCTTATATCTCAAAAATCAAGGCATTTAGAGCAATCTGACATGGGTAAAAGTGTTCATTAGGTAAAGTTCTATCAACCCTGAAATTTTCAGATGATTCTGATAACCCATTGTTGGGTTGCTGTTACTAAATTGGTGATTTAAAGGAAATTTTGCAGTTTTTGGTTATTGTTTTGAATATTATTAATGATAAAGATAAACTGTAGACAGCAAAAATGTTCAACAAAGTAAGATCTACAAATAAGTTGATATGACCAAAATTGTCAATTGACCCCTCAAGGAGTTATTGCATTTTAAGGACATTTTTTCACAATTTGTTTATCATGTTTTCTAACTTTAAAAAATCTTCTCCTCTGAAACTCCTTAACAAATTCCAACCAAACTTGAGCTGAATGATCCTTAGGGTATCTAGAATAAAGTTTGTGTTTTATTTTCTGTTTCGTCAAAAACATGGCCGCCATGGCTAAAATAGAACATATCGGTAAAATGCAGTTTTTGGATTATATCACAAACACTAAAGCATTTAGAGCAAATCTGATGTGAGGTAAAATTGTTTATAAGGTAAAGTTCTATCAGCCCTGAAATTTTCAGATGAATCTGATAACCCATTGTTGGGTTGCTGCCACTAAATTGGTTATTTTAAGGAAATTTTGCAGTTTTTTGTTATTATCTTGAATATTATTAATGATAAAGATAAACTGTAAACAGCAAAAATGTTCAGCAAAGTAAGATCTACAAAAAAAATTTTTTTTATGACCAAAATTGTCAATCGACCCCTTAAGGAGTTAATGTCCTTTAAAGACAATTTTTCTGAATTTATTCATCTAGTTTGCTTGCTTTAAAACTGCTGAATCGATTTCAGCAAAACTTAGACTGAATGAGTTTCAGAATATCTAGTATAAATTTTGTATTTTATTTCCTTGTACGTCAAGAAACATAGCCACCATGACTAAAATGGAACATAGGGGTAAAAGCATTTTTTTCGCTTTTGAAGAAAATATGACAGATACAAAGAACATTTAAATGGAATTTTTAAGACACTCATTAATATATATGAAAAGCAAAATTATCATTGTGGAAAAATTTTAAGCAAAAAATAACAGGTGAGCGATTCACGCTCATGAGAGCCTCTTGTTTTAATATTTCCCAAATCATAACAAAGTCCTAACATCACTAAAACTAGCCCATAAATGAAATACTTCAAAATGAAGTCATGCATCAATAATAAACATTTAATTTACACTGACAATGAAACTAATTCTAGAATAAAACCAATCAAGAGATAATTTGAGCCTTGAGAACTTTACAATATTCTAAGTTTGTAAGAGAATGTTAATCCCTTACTTTATAATAAGTACTCGCTATCGCTCGTACTCAATCATAAAGAAAGGAATTATCATTCTCTCACATATACATACAACATTGAAAGTTAATAACAGGTAAATAAGAAAATATAAAGTTTCTAATACAGTTAGCAAAGAAAATAAAACTAAATGAAATATTTAAGACAAAAACGTTTAACCATAGATTAATTTGAAAAACCATTAAATGATAGATACCTTATAATGCTGGCTACGGCTCATAGTGTTGCTTCTGGTTTTACTTATTCTGCATTGACAATATAGATAAATATTACAATATATATAGTGAAAAGTGAACTGTTAAACTAGCCAGAACCGGATAAAACAACTATTCGGAAAAGTAGTTTGTCCAATAGCCAATGGCAATAGCAAAATACATGGAGTATACATGGAGTATTTAGATTCACTGAACCATATAATACTAAATGTGTTCAATATAGTTACATCACTATAATATAAGGGTAAAATAGATATAAACGAAGTACAAAGTTTGGAATAATATCAAATAGATAATTTGTATACAAATGAACTTGTCCACATATATGACCTACAACAAGGTAAAACGGGAATGACACAGAGAAAACCGCGGGTTGCTGTCTTTTGCGCTTCATTAAATAATAGCTTTAAACAATGTACTTTTACATGCAGTTCCCTACATATGACACAGAACGTTGAATAATGTAATTTCCATTATTTTATGGAAAGAACAAATTACCATATGTTAATTAGAATCAGTGAAAAAATATAAGATATAAAGAAAAGACTGATCCGAAAATAAAAAAAGTTCTCCAGATTCCAACCTAAATTAAATTAAAGGTTTCACGGTCGTAATTTATCATGGTTTTTAGTGTATCGATTTTTCTTGTTGGGATTGTTATATTATTTTAAAGATAGAACGAATAAGGGTTTTTCGAGCTGTGTTTTCCCCTCTTATTCTTTGTTAATGGGTATGCTTAAGAAGTTGCTTGTTCTTAGTTTAAAAAAAAAAGAATTATATGCAATTGTCATTCAATGAGATATTTAGTTAACTAAAAAAAACAAGGTCTAGTCCAGCATTTTCTTCATTAGAAAATACCTGTACCGAGGCAGGAATATGACAGTTGTTTTTCATGCATTTGATGTGTTTGTGCCTTCGATTTTGTCGTTTCGAAAAAAACTTTCCATGTTGAATTTCCCCTGGAGTTCGGTATTTTTGTTATTTTTCATTTCACACCAGATTTCAACTGACGCATATAGAACAATATTCATCATCGCAAATAAACGAAGCCACTTTTTAATCATTTTCCTGTTTACAAGCTTTATCTACCAGGTCATCTTAAGTTTCCATTTTTTTTAAATGAACACCGAATTAAAAAAATTGCGCTGCAAATCAGTCAATGAATAGTTTATGACTCAATTTTTTTTTCTGCAATGAAATGCAGGATGAATTTCATACAACTCTCTCAAGTTCTAGAGATCTATTTGTCATGTCTTTTGAACATGAAACCGTTTGTGATGTGTCTGTTGTATTTCACCTAACATGCTAAATGTATCATTAAAGGGGCACTAGTTGTCAAATTCATGTTCACCGATTTCACTCAAACTATCATATTTGATTTATAACAATGTAAAATATTTATCCAAACTATTGAAAGTCTTAAATAAACAGTTTACAGGTCGTGAGCTCGATAAGATGTAGCTTCGTTTCGTGTGTATTTTAGTCTAGACGCCATCTAATTAACTATCGAGTTGACCCCCGAACACCTACGATGACCATATAAGGGATATAGAGATAAGTACAGATATAAATAGATAAAGCAACTCTGTTTACTTTCATATTATAGATTAAAATATATGTTTATCATCGTTTTTACTTGTATAAGAATGATTTTGTGGATCGAATCAGTCAATCAAATGATTTACCTTTGTTTCACTTTCAATGTTGACATTCTTTTCTTTTAAATAGTTTTACAAGGACAATTCATGCGTTATCCATCTCTAGCTAAGGGATTAAATTGAATTTCACATAAATACGGATTCAATGATGTGGAATTATTCACTTGCGAGTGAATAATTCATCATCAATATTTGTTAGCTTATTTTGACAAAATTTAACCATACTGGCTGCTAAAAGCGAATAAATATTTCACTATTTCACTTTCATTAATGATTGAACAAAAAAAACATACTTTAGATTTTTTATATATCTCGTAGCTAGTGCCCCTTTAACAGTGGAATGTATTTGCACCGGAATTTTAGTGCAAATAAATTTTTAAAACCTCCGAGTCCCATCAACTTGCTTTTCATTCTCTTCTAAGTTTTATAGCACAATATTGTTTCGTGTACCTAATAATTATGCATGAATTTCGACTAGAGAAACATTTCATTATCTGATCTGATCTTTTTTCTTTTAATGTAATAGCTTGCAGTTCTTTCAATAGCAAAACATTTGCATACAAAAAAAAAAAAAAATTATCCAGAACAGATTGACAGCTATTTTGAAGTTCATTCATGTATATTTTCTTCGTCTATAAGAAAAAGACATTACTCAATTTATATTGCAGGCAGAAAACAAAATGGAAGTCCATTAAGGGTAATGCCACCAGGTACCCTGCCATATAGATTAGAAGGAGTTACTCCAAGGGGCAGAGTGAATTAAATGCTGTGATTATCTAAATCATAAAAGGCGAAGTAAATGACAGAGTATATCTTCCAAAGCTCAATTCTAAAATTATTTTATCTTACTGATTGAGTGTCTTTCGTGAACTTAGTAACCATTCGTTGATTATCGCAAGCGAAAGATTTTATTGCATAATAATCAAGAAGTGCACTTTATTTTCGAAAAATGTATTTAGTGTGTGAAACAAGTTTTCTTGATATATTTTACTGTCCCAAGTCAGGAGCCGCTGGTCTATGTTAATCTTGTATTTTATTTTATTTTATTTTAATTTTAGTTAATTTATATGTTTTTGTGTTTAGTTTGACGTCCATTTTCACTGAACTAGTACACATTTTACAATTATTTTTTTTTTGCAATGGAAATGTATTAAAAAACATGTGTTATGTTAATTTATTCATTGATATCAAAGCTGTCATATTGTTGTTATTTTTTTTGTGACAGTGATGTCATAGATCTGGAATTGATACATGCAGCTAACAAATAAGAAACTTATTGATGTGAGCAATAGTAAAAGTTCAATTATAAGTGAATATTGAAGGGCGAGGGGATTTGAAATGCCCTTTTTGTGAGGAGGTTTTTGGTATTTGTTGTTTCAGTGATAAATACGCGACAATTTAAAGAGAGAACACAGACTGGTTGACTCGGAGTCAGACATGTGTCCGGGTAGGTTAACTTTTCTAACAGCGAACTGTTACTGTGCTTCTGTACTTATACATCCCGTTATTATGCTATTATAAAACTTGCTTGTCGTTCATTTTTGCTATGTGCTTAGTATGGATGCCTTTTTATGTTTCTTTGTTACATATATGACGTGGCTCTGTACTTATACATCCCGTCATTGTATTATTGTACTATGGTAAATTTGTGTATTCTTGTCTATAAGTTTTGCTAATATGCTTGATCTATATGCCATTTTGTTTTTCTTTGTTACATATTTGTTTTTTTTAGTGATTAAGATTATATCACAATGTTGACTTCTGTATTTTTAACATTTTTACCTATTATGTCTATTTGTTTTGTTCACGCATCGTTGTCAACATAATAGAATTTGATGCGACTGTCATACAAGTGAAAGGTTTAGCTAGCTATAAAACCAGGTTCAATCCACCATTTTCTACATAAGAAAATGCCTGTACCAAGTCATGAATATGACAGTTGTTATCCAATCGTTTGATGTGTTTGAGCTTTTGATTTTGTCATTTGATTAGGGACTTTCCGTTTTGAATTTTCCTCGGAGTTCAGTATTTTTGTGATTTTACTTTTTAGCTCATACTTTTACCGTTAAAAATCTGACTCAGCGTGCCGTTCTACTACGAAGAAGGGTTCATGTTCAGAATAATTATAAATTACAAAATTCTGTATATTTTTTTATATTTTGTATAGATATATTAAATAAAGATTTATACTTTTATTCCATGTACATATACTTATGATAATTGATTGTAATTATTAATGTTTGTTCTTTGTTTGTGTGTTGATGACAATTCAGAATTTGGATTTTGAATCAATAAATCTTTTATTTTAATTTTATTCATATTATATTTACATATTAGTTCCTGAAATGCATTTAATTTGCCGCTGGATGTCATACATTATCCTTATTTATTTTACCGTTACTATACAAATGTATACAGTGAAGTGTTTTTCGTCTACTGGTTCTTACTGTCACATAATAGAAGCTCCACCATAATATCTTTTCCAAAGATAATGTATTATGTAACAAAAAATCCAATTCGAATTAATGGTATGTGATACATATTCCATGAACATAATAAAAGGACCGATGCCTCGGAATTTTTAACACAAAAAATATTTTCTGGAAATTTTGTTGCATAATAAAGTAGCTTTGGAATAAGTATAATGGTGGAAGTATTATCGTATGACTGGTATAACATTTTGACTTTTATCATTTTGAAAACTTGACATGTCATTCATTAAAACGAAAGTAATCAGAAATAACGGGTATATTTCTTTATTTAATAACATATATATAAATCAGAACTAGATTGATGCATATTTGACAAGCAAACACATTGGATCTCTCCATTACTTTTCTCATTTGTCTGCATACACGGGAATCTTCCTCTGCATCAGTTTCGATTTGTTTATCACCAGTATCCTTTATTGAAAGTGACGGTATAATCAAATCGTCAATGCCAATATCATAAGTATTCTCATTAATTTCATTGATAAATGATAATTGAGTTATAAATATAGAATCACCCAGATCATTTTCAATATTATTGTTTTATCATTTTTGTTATATATGTCATCTAAAAGTACTTCTTCGTTGTCATATTTCTCAGTCGTTGTACTATGTTCCTCAGGAGCAGTAAACCGCTATATATTATTTTTCCTGTGATTACCAATAACTTTATCATTGCTATCAGTAAGGGTGACAGTCCCTAGTTTTGGAACGGCACTAATAATGTATGGTCCTTAAGCTTACAATCTAGCCATTCCCAATGTCCTTTTTCTTTTCCATATTAAAAAAAAACATTTCCCTTTTTAAGTGCAAGTCTCACAGAAAATCATGCAAAATGATCCAAAAGTACTTTTTAAAAAAAAACAAATGAAATCCTTACCTGACAGTACATATGGATAGGTAAAATTAAAACACAAAGCATTTTTTTTTCAATATTATTAGAAAAAAAAATTATGAGGAGGTGAAACTTAATATGTCATTTTACATGTGCAAATAGCCAAACAATCACAATTTTCACCATTTTTGACCTGATATATTTTTTTACCAGTAAGAATGATACATTTTTATACAGATATTTCAAATGAACAGCATTTAATGAATCAAAGATTTGTTTTTCTTATCTTGAACAACATTCGGTCAAAAGAATTTCAAAACATCTGTATAGATGCACTTTGCTCATAGAGCTAAAATGGCATAACATTAAACAGTCGTATCTCCATAAATGATTAAATAAATCAAAATCAAAAGATTTTTTATAAACCTTTACTTAATTCATATAACATATAAAAAATCCTCATTCATCATAGTACTACTTGTTTCTAACTGCGAAGCTGCACTCACTGCTTGAATCAAATTTATTTGCGTATCCTGAACAGATACAGAAATAGAAGCATATGCTTCAACTGCAGTATCTAATCCAGATTTGTTTGATATATATGAATGATTTGCAACAAGAATATGGTTTTCAAAATTTGAAGCTCTAGCAAAGTTTTGTTACAGATAAAGGCAACAGTAGTATACCGCTGTTCGAAACTCATAAATCGATAGAGATAAAAACAAATCCGGGTTACAAACTAAAACCGAGGGAAACGCTTCAAATATAAGAGGAGAAAAACGACACAACAAAAACACAACAATAAAATGTAATACACACAAAAACGAACTATAATATAACAATGGCCATTTTCCTGACTTGGTACAGGAAATTTTAAGAAAAAAATGGTGGGTTGAACCTGGTTTTGTGGCATGCCAAACCTCCCATTTTATGGCAACGTCAAACACAACACCAAAACGACAACATCACATGACAGGACCACAATACAAATAAATGGGAGAACATATAGGACAAAGAAACACTCGAATAATAGCTAACAAAAGGTACTAGGCTAAAAATGCAATACGCCAGACGTGCGTCTCGTCCACACAAGACCAACCAGTGACGCTCAGATGAAAAAAGTTTGAAAGCCAAAACAAGTACAAAGTTGAAGAGCACCGAGGACCAAAACTTCCAAAAAGTTGCGCCTAACACGGCCAGGGTTTTCTGCCTGGGACAAGAACATCCTTATTATTTAGAATAATTTATAATTTTGCAAACAGTAAATTTTATAAAATGACTATATAATAGATATACATGATAAAACCGAAGTGGGGACTAACTACAGAATAAAAACGGATACATTACATAAAACAACTTAATCCAACACATAAAAATACACAGCCGAGTTAGCCAAAGCCTCAACGCCTCAACGCACAAAGTGACGTCACATTTGAAATTCTAAAAAAACACACAAAGTGACGTCACATTTGAAATTTAAAAAAAACACACAAAGTGACGTCACATTTGAATTTGTAAAAATATTTCCCAAAAATAAGATAGGATTAGGATTGATTCAAGATTAGATTTGTAATACTGACATTACATTACAGGAAAGACCAGGACAACAGAAAAAGTTTGCATTTTGACTGTCACATGCATAGGTTGTTTCGTTTGCTTGAACAGTTGATGAGACATTTGAGAGTTTTGTGCTGATATAGGGTATGAAACCTTCCCGCCTGTTTGAATACCTGTGAAGAGTTCATGGACCTAAAACATCAATTATATATATTATGTATTTGTTATTTGTTGAACAAAATATTTCATATATAATATAAAGCATAGTGAGTGTATTTTAAGGCAATAAGGTCCCCATTCCACTACCAGTCACAGTGTGAAACTCCAACTTGATTTGTAACTCACTACAAACTGCTCAGAGTCTTAAAATACATTTGTACTATATTTTGTGCTCGACCAGTAAGGTCGAGCACCAAATTTACTTGATTAGACTCAACATTATCTCGACAGTACTTAACTGTACTCGACCTTACCTAATAAATCTGATTCAGTATTTGATAATCTTGGTACATAGTCTGAAATGGTCTCGACAAAGGCTTGACCTGTCTCGACCTGTCTCGACCAGTCATGACCTTCAAGTTTAGCCTTGACTGGTCTGAATCAGATTATCTAACTCAATTATATATTGATCTAACAGGTTATATTCTGTCAAATTTAAGGATTTAATTAACAGGTAAAAATCAAGAATTTTCAGTTTTTATTAAACTCAGATAGTCATCTTATATTATTTCAATAAATTTTTCAAATCAACTTGAATTTTCATAAAACTGTACAGCTATCTCAATTATACATCGATCTTAGAGAATGCCAGGTTGTTTGGTAGTTTGGTCTATTGCTGTCATAGTTCAGAATTTAATTAGTGGTTAGAAAAGCTGGAATTTTCAGGTCCGACTGAATTAAGATAGTCAGTCACCTTTAAATTTGTTTATTACTTTTTCAAATTAACTTGGATTTTCACAAAACTACACTACCAACAATTTGCCTAACGTTTACATGTACATTAAATGCCGCTATATAAATAGTACTTCTTGGAAACATAATTAATCAGTACATTAAATGCCGTTATATAAACAGTACTTTCAGGAAACATAAATAATCAGTACATTAAATGCCGTTATATTAATAGTACTTTTAGGAAACATCACTAATCAGTACATTAAATGCCGCAATATAAACAGTACTTTTAGGAAACATCACTAATCAGTACATTAAGTGCCGTTATATAAACAGTACTTTTAGGAAACACCACTAATCAGTACATTAAATGCCACTATATAAATAGTACGTTTAGGAAACATCACTAATCAGTACATTTAATGCCGCTATATAAACAGTACTTTTAGAAAACATCACTAATCAGTACATTAAATATCGATATATAAACAGTACTTTTAAGAAACATCACTAATCAGTACATTTATTTATATATCATTTTTAGTAATGAGAAAAAAAAATTTCAGTACTGAAAATTTCGGTCATTTTTCAGTACTGAAAATTTCAGTCACTTTTCAGTACTGAAAATTTCAGTCACTTTTCAGTACTGAAAATTTCAGTCATTATTCAGTACTGAAAATTTCAGTCATTTTACATAACTGTAAATTGCAGTCATTTCACAGTACTGAATATTTTAGTAATTTTCAGTACTGAAAATTTCAGTCATTTTTCAGTACTGAAACTTTTTGTCATCTTTAAGTCCTTCTACACATACAATATAAGTTCAATGTCAGAAAAATATCAAATGTTTGTATGAGGCTGAGAAACTGGGGAAGGGCGAGGTTTTACTGAGCCCTTCCCCAGTTTTGTGCCGAATACAAAAAAGTTTATATCTTTATGACATTGACCTAATATTATTTTTATACTGCAACTTAGATTAATACATTGATAGCTTTTTTAAATCGTAACTATTATATATTAATAGCATAAATATCAAACTTATTTTTATCACCTAATGAACCCCTGATTGTGGAGAAAGTGTTCCATGATGAAATTGACATTGCACAAAATATAGAAATCAACGACAACGGAAGCCCGCAATAGAACGGTGTTTTAATCTTTTTCTGACAACAACTTCAAAATCTACTCAGGACCAGGATTTTTTAAGGTAAAAAGTTACGAAATATATCAAAGTAGTTCACATTTCATTTGGTTAGTATGGTATGGTGGTCATGAAATTGAATATGGTGTTCAAACTTGGTGCATTTTAAGTGGGTGCAAGACAAGTCCGCCCTGGGACAACTCGGACCGTCTCAAAAAAAGACAACTCGGACCATCTATAATGACAACTCAGACTAAGTTAAAGTATAAAATTAGACTTTGGAAGAAATAAATGATTTTAAGGAAAAATAACGAGTCTGAAGAGAAGTATCTAAATTGATACTTTTTTTATTCCAATTTTGAGCATGTTGAGTATATATAAAATCATAACGTCAACTA